GTTCCTCACAACCCCGCTAGGGGGGAGAGAGCTGCAGTGGTAAATAATTCCCCAAAATTATTGAGCACAGCATTCATCACTGACAATTGGATGCTGACCTTTACTGTTTGAGTCGACTTGTTTAGCTGAAGGCTTCAGGTCAAGCATCCATGCCATTTGGAATGCCGTCGTGTCACATTCGTTCGTTCGTTCACGATCCCTAGCTAGTTAAGCAATCATCTCGCATTCCGATTTCATTCCGAAAAATAACTCGTGATTTGGACGATCAATTCTGGTGTTTTGCTTTGCCCATGGTCTACGCGGAACGAATACTATATAAGCTGTGGATGTTAGATCTCGCGTTAGTATATATCGTACTATCCGCGAACGTCAATAACTTTAGCCTCTGAATACCCAAAAGGAAAGAAGGATGGTCGCAATTGTCCAGTGCTATGGATAGTGCAAAAAACAACGCGGAACAAGGCACGAAGGAAGGCTTTTATCGACAGCTACATTCAGTTATGGACAACATCTTAAATGGCGACATCAAAATCCTCATAAGCGATATGAATGCTAGTCAAGCTGCGGTGAGACAATCAGAGAGATAACTTATCATGGGTCGACAGGCTCTCACTCGGAGAAATGAATGTCAACGGAGAATTATTCGCAGACGTCTGCGCTTACAGTGACTTAGTGAACAGAGGTAGTATGTACTGACACAAGGATTTACAAAAAGCCACATGGATTTCACCTGATAGACATGCCATGAAGCAGATAGGTTTTATCTCAGTCTTGACCAATTTACACTCCACTGACTAAAGAAGTGAAGAAGAGTGCTAGGAAAGATGAATTGCAATTCTACGACACACTTTCCAGCAACTAAAGCAGAGCAGGCCGGCAGGCTGCAGGTGAAAGAGACCTCAGGACATTATACGAGACAACCAGGTCTCTATCTAAGAACAGATGTACGCAGGTGATGAGACCAATAAAAGACGTTTAAGAGAACCTGATTACTAGGGAGGTGAAATAAAGAAAACAGTGCGCTGATTACTTTCAAGGTCTCTTGAATGGACCATCACCCACAACTCGCCCAGATATACCACTAACGCCGACAACACGCACAGAACTGCCTGCCAGTGGACACCAATCCTCCAACGAAAGCTGAAATACTAAATGCGATCAAGCTGCTGAAGGCATGCTGGGAAGGCAGCTGGACCAGACGGAATTCCCTTCCACTCTGAAGCACTGGAAACGGACCCACAGACTGACGGAGATGCTCTCACACCATTATTACAAAAGGTTTGGAAGGAAGGAAAGGTGCCTACTGATTGGAAGAAAGGCTGGCTACCTTGTCAAGCTGACAAAGAATGGTGACTCACGCCTCACCCTGCAAGAACTGACTGGCGTGGAATAGCGCTCTCGTCCACGCCAAGCAAAATACTATGTCGCGTCATCCTGGAGTGACTAGAAGATGCACTGGACACGGAACTCCACCACCCACCGACCACAACGAGCTGGCTGAATTCACGTAAGGCAAATCATCTGCTGATCAAATGCCAACTCTACGCATCGTCATCACACAACAAAGCATAGAATGACAGTCAAAACTCTCTGTCTCTCTACCTCAACTTCCTTCATCGACTAAGAAAAGGCCTTCGACAGTCAGCGTTGACAGAGAAGTAATTTGCAAACTACTGCAATACTACGGTGGCGTGCAGTGCTCAAGTCTTTGTCAACCTCATTCAGCAGCTGACTATATGACAATGCCTGTCACGTGTTATTCAGGTGATCCACAACGGGAGACTCAGAGAGGCGTTCGAAGTGAATACAGGAGTAAGACAAACTAGCCAGCCAGCCAGCCGGCAAGCCAACCAACCTGCCTGCCTGCCTATTATCACTCACAATGATATTTCTAATTGTGATGGACTGGATTATGCGTCAGACTGCGAGTTGGGAGCGAGGAGACAGGAGTACGCTGGACCGCCGATGAGAAGACTCCAGAAGATGTGGATTTCGCGTGTGGATGATATGTGTCTAATGTCAAACGAAGTCGAAGGCTTGCAGACTGGCGAAAACTGGCAACCAACTGACTGAAGCAGGCAGGCAGGCAGCGAAGAAACGACTCCAGGTGAACATAGAGAAGATGGAGGTGATGAAGGTAACCAACCACCACCAACACCACTGCCACCACCAGAACCAACAGCAGCAACAACAACAACCAGCACCAGTCACCATCAACGGGAGAGATTTGACAGAGTTCACACACTGCCTTCACTTGTTTAGCTATGCAGCATCGTTTCAACTACAGGCAGTCGGAACGGATGAAGATGTCAAAGACAGCCAGCCAGCCAGAATCGGCAGGGCAAGATATGGAGGCTTTCATCAACCTGAACCCAGTTTGGAAATCTCCTGCACTTCGCCAGCACAATGAACGAGATTCGGATTTTCAACAACAATGTGAAGTTGGTTCTTCTATACGCGTAAGAAAATCGTACTGCAAGTTATTCGCGAAAAGGATTTCCAACAGGCTACTGCAGACTTTTATCAACAGCTGTCTTCGCTGGCTGGCTCGCTTTCCATACTGAAGGTGAAATGGCCGGCCAGAGAGAATTAGTAACAAGAAAATCTGGCTGGGGACGAACCAGCCACGAGCCGATTGCTCAAGAAATTTGAAGGAGAAAATAAAGATGGATCCTATAAAAAAAACGCAATGCAGGCCATCGCTTGAGTGGAACATCAGTGGGAAGCGACGAGTGTGTCATCGTTGCGAGAGTGACACACAGGAGATCATGTGAGGAGTAGATGAGAGATTGTGTGCAATCTTGGTACAAGCTGAGGAGGGCGACAGATGATAGTTCTAAGGGAGATGTGTTGTTTAGGCCCTGTGTTCGACTCGGAACGCTGGTGAATATTAATGGTGTTATCTTAGGGTGGAAAACAGCAATGAGTGAAGTACTTCAGGTAAGTAGCTGCGAAAATTCTTTCCTCGCGTTTACTGTTATTTGAGGATGTAGAAAACTGTAGATAATAACGAGGATATGATAGCTTCACAAGGCGATGTAGATAAATTGATCGAAGGAGTTTGAAAATTAAATTCAGGAGTGCAGCGAGGCACAGAACTTCTCGGGTGTTTAAAGGCCAATAATGATTGTAAGCCATGGTTTGAAAACAACTGCATTTTTTTTAACAGATCCGTAGCTATGGCTTTTAGAATGCTTCGGGCACTTCAAGGTGTTTTCGAACGACTAAAAGAGTATGTGTTCAAAGTAATCTACGCAACCTGCCAGGCCCGATCTAGAATACTGTACTCAAGCGGCTAGTCTTTGCCTCAAGAAGGGCGCATATCTATTGGAAAGAGCACAGTCTTCCACAGTATAAAAGAATGAAACATTAAAATCTCTTCCCAAAAGCATACAGAAGGAGGAAAGGTGAATTAGCTTTGGTATTTCGTATATTAAAGGGTAATTTTAAGATTGACCTTCTTAACATTTTCTGTCCTTCCAGGATAATTTTGTGAGGTCTGCAGAGAAAATTAATCAAACCACGGACGAATGAAATACGTGCGGGACTTGGATCCTCACATAGAGTTTTAGAAGATGAGAGTATGTTGACGCAGTATCAGCCCTAATTGTGGAAGCTTTCAAAGAGAGTTGTACACTGCGAGGCTGATACAGGCCACATGTGCCTACTTTCCTTATTATCCAAATCTGAACCAATCTCTGCACCACAATCTTTGGAGCAAGCCATAGCTGAAACAGACCAGTAGCGGCCTGCAGTATCCATAATTTTGCCGAAGACTGAGCTTTTTTACCTAACAACCAAGGAACGAGCATGATGAAATAATTTTGGATGGATATTGGAACCTTCTGAAAGTCTCGCGTGGCGGGTTTTACGACAATTTACGTTACCATAGGTTTGAGGTGTAAGGATGGACCATAAGAAGATACTTTACAGATCTATTGCACGTTTCTTCGAAAAGGAAATAAATTCTCATCTTTATTCCTCTGAAGTTACCGAAAGTCTGGAAGGTAAGTGCACGTCGTCACTTAATGTGTTTGGTTGATACCAGTCTGAATTCAGCATATGCATGTTAAGATGCATAGGCTAATATCCTATCTCCATCATGGGCTTTTTAAGAGCTGAGACTTATATTCGTTCTCCAAGTAGCCAGTAAACGAGACATTTCACTGAAACATGTAGTAGAGTTGTTACGGTGGAAACATTCAGGGAGAAACGGATATTACTTTAAGGAGTCTATCTGTCTGTTTTCAACATAAAACTTTTCACCTATGTGCAGAAGTTCGAGTTGGCACACTACATGTAGCACTCAAAGCAAGAGGAGAAATTAGAGGAAATGAAAAATAGAGACGGTTAACAGAGATATAAGACAAAAGGAATAGCTGTAACGAAGAACAATATAGTTTCATTGTAAATTATAAGTCACAAGGAGTGGATGCATCTGTGCTATTGCAAACGATTTTGATCTATATCACCAATTGTGTCCAGCTATTGGTTTTTACCATCCCGAAGACCCCAACTAGGAAGTTTGCACCTTCCTAAATGGCTAGCTTAAACTGACTTGTGGATTTCATTGACTGGTGCCATGTTTCGGTTTGACCACCATTGGCTCTTTTTCAGGTTGATGTTATGTCAGCTAACATTGCCCATTGAGGAAGACGATGTTTAGGCATGCTTAGCACATGTTCTAACCATCTCAATCAATGTAGCTTCACAACCTCGTCTATTGATTTCACCTCTTTACCTAGCACTCGACCGATGCCTAACCTCAATATTTTTCACCTTATTGTGCCACTTAACGCGGGAGATAGAACGCAGGCACCTGTGATGAATGACAACCAGCCTTTTCATGTCTTCCACTTCCATGACCATGTCTCAGTCATAATGGAGGACGGAACGGACTGTTGAGCAGTACACACTCCCTCTGTTCGACAGACAACCGGATATCACGTCTCCGCCAGAGATGGCATAAGTTGGTATATGCCAAACGAGCCTTCTGTATCCGTGTTGAGGTTTCGTCAGCTATCAATCTGTTGGGTCTGATGCAACTTCCCAAACAAGCGAAGTGTTCAACACGCTCTACTACTTCACTCTCTATCTTTAAGCTAGGAGTCAATGTAATCCTGTAGCATCATCTTACATTTGGTGGGAGACAGGTTAGAGCTGAGAAAACCTAGCTTTATTTATTGGATAGATATAAAACGCTTGCACTAGAGTTTTGCCATCTAAAGTAGGAGAAAAGAATATACAGTTTTTTGATCTGCTTATTGTTTTTTGTATGTACGAAATGCTGAAGTACAATTAATGGAGTGTTTTTATATTTGAGATAGCGACAAACCCCGGATCCAAATTTTCAATTGCATCCACTAATTAATAATCGGGTTCATCCCTATTTCGTTTTTGATGTGGTGTTCAAACAAAGAAAACATGGTATTCAGGATTTCAAACTAGACGAATTGTTACGCGGTAATGAACTGTGGTAAATAGATCTGCGGGCTAAGATGCAATATATACTCTAATCGTCTTTGTGTCTGTTAGATTGTGTAGGCGGTTGAATTGGTTTAAAATCTCAAGCTCTTTTGTTTTTCATTGGTTGCATTAATGCATTCGTGATAGTAACGTAAAATATTATTTACTTTAGAATAACTGTTGCATTGACTTTTTCTAGTTGCGAAACAGTGCATAGAAACCGCTTTTCACATATCTGAAAATGAAACTGGTGAGGTTCCGGACCTACAAGCATTGTTCGAATCCCAAACTCAGGTATCTTGTTTTATCATACCAATAGTTGTCAATAGAAAAAGCCGAGTATTTCCAGAAGTGAACCCACCGAAGAAGCTAAATCAATGGCGGAGGCACTGAAAAACCAAGGTATGACCATCATTCTCATTAAATAATTCATGTAGGTAACCAATGCATGAAACAAGAAAAGTTTGAAGAGGCTGTAGCTTGCTACAGTAAGGCCATCGAACTGTCACCCTTCAATGCTGTCTTTTACTGCAACAGGTAATAATACTGCGTTTTCACAAATCTTGTGCTTTAAGTAAATGTCGTATCTAGTTCTTCCCTCTTTAATACATTGATACTTTTCTTGTTGAACACTTAAATGTGTTAATAGTAACATTCATTTACAATGTCTTCTTGATTAGCATATGGTTATCTATTATTCTGCCAATTTCTTGTTTACTTTAGGGTTTTCTTCACTTAGCCTCTATTTTCCCAAGTAATTGTTACTGACGTGAGGTAATGTATTACAAAAACCTGCCTTGCTCTTTTATGCAAATAGCTATTACTTCAGATGGAGTTAAAATTAAATCATTGCAAAAAATCTAGGAAAAAAAGTATTGTTCAATCGAATTTTTGCGTTGTGTTATTTTAAACGAGACTTTAAACATCACGGGACAATAGCATGTGAAAAGTGGATTAGGTAGTAACGTTCCGTACTGACAAACAGCGCTTAGGATCAAGTGGCAAAAGAAATATTTTAATATCTTCTAAACATCAGATCTCCGTTCGCCTCAATCATTCTGATGACATAGAAAATGTAAAATCTGTAAATATCACAGAGGTAACATACCCCTAAGAAAAGTCAAATAGATGACTTTTCATATACTCATGTTAGTCAGAGCTAGGTAGTACTGAATAAACTTTATTTGGCAGTTTTCAGTGATCTCAGTTGCTAAATTTATACTACAAAGGAGCTCCAAATATTGAACATGTCACCATTCACCTGCTGTTTTACAGTAGATGCATTTAATCACAGTTCGTAAAAGAATGCAGCCCATCACCTTCGTATAGACCTTCGTGTTTCCTCCGAGGACTGATGATGCTGTCTAGTTATACAAGCCTCAATTAGTAAGGTAGATCGTAAGTAGTTACCGTGTAGTTGATAGTTGAATACCCGGATAGCTGCATTAGAAATTCTATGAACTCTGTTCGTGGTGTAGTCAGACTGAAGTTGCAATGCTATTAATTAAACTCATATGATGAAGTCAATGTTTTTTCCAGATCAGTTGACATGAAATTTGTCAAGCATATGAGTGGGAACTTGTGACCAAAGTTTAATTTTATTAAAAATACTTTTTTTGGACGAGATAACAATATCATCTGGGTGGATGAAACAAAACCAGACTGGTAGAAAGATCAGTGCAATCCTTATGAAGAAATCCGTCATTCAAAATTACCACACTTCAAACTAACAGAAATTTGATGACTTTGGTGCGGAAAATGTGTGGAAGAAAAAGTAATTAGTTGAAGGTTGACAAACTTATTATTACTGTTAAACATAATTGAGGGTGAATACGTTTGCGCCGTTGTAAATGATTTTGAAGCACATCACTAGTTGCTTTACAACCCAAATCCCCCAACTGGATAGCATACATCCACCTACATAACTCAAAATTGAGGTTCAGTTCCACTCTAGACTCGTCGGAAAGCTAACGTCTAGAGATGTTACTTTTATATTTTATAATACTTAGCAAATTTAGTAGGGAACCTTATTTGGTAGCTTCTTATTTGGGAATATTATACGGGGAATCGTCTTCATATAGTGTCATAGGTTTATTAAAACAGGAATTCTTAAGAACCCCTGATACCGTGTATGTTCGATTCATCATATGGATGACTTTTCTTATTGTTTATTTGTCTTTCAGAAACTAGTTATTTATCATATATTTTATTGTGTTTCCATTTAAAGAGCTGCTGCACATTCTCGATTAGATCATCATCAGGATGCCATCAGTGATTGTTTAAAAGCATTGGAAATTGATCCAAATTACAGTAAAGCATATGGTCGAATGGGGTGAGTATGTTTTACACTTTTCGCATTTTCGTGTCATGTTTCACACAACATTTTTCTGCACACATGCGGTTTGTGTAAGCAAGCTGTTTCATTTAGCTTATTTTTTGACGGATGAGAATCAGTCTTTTACTGTACACTTTGTGGGTTTAACTTCCAAGTATTCAGGATATTATTTTTCTTCAACCCTGTAAATCGTAGCCATATCAGAACCTACATTTTTATATTTCTAAAGCTGTTATGCTTTTGGAGATTTCATTGGTTTCAGGGCAGATTTTGTTCTGGAAGATTCTTTACATATGTTTACGTGGTAACTTGTAGGAGCACTTTTGTGGTAGGTAAATTTGCCAAACAATATGGATATAGACATCAAAAAACAGGCATTAATAAGAATATCTTGGATAGTAACGAGGCTTTCAAGCTACCATACTGACCAAGAGATCCAGTGGAAAAAAGATGGGTGTAATGTAATCCACAGAATATGGAGATGTGGTACTCGGTTTTCAGCCTCACCAACAGTCCATGGGTTTGGGTCCCACTTTACCTACTTCAGCCTCAGCAACTAAGTAGTACCACTGTGGCGCGTGCTACTGACAGGATTTATAAGTAGTATATAGATACAGATATAAACATGTATATCATCTGCAAGAATATCGAATTGTGGATTTATTGGCGAAGAGATGAAATGAACCATTCTTGGGAAACTATTTGGAAAATACGAGACGAAAACGAAGGAGCACAATACTGAAGATGTATACAAGTTTTAATCTTAATATATGGTAGGTGTATTTTACCTATATCTGTACATCGAATCGCCAATAAATAATCCCGTTACCAAATCCTCTTATATTCTGCCGTTACACCACTAGCTTCCACACTGTTTTAGCCTGTTACGTGAAAAGTGTGATGCAGGTGACTGAGTACAAACAAGATAATCTACAAAATAAATTACAGTAATCGAGACGCTACAGTGACAGAATAGCTACTGTTTTCGCCTTCAACTGCATTGAACGTTACGATATACATTCACTCGTATGAGGACATTTGAACAACTGTAAATATTTGATTGGGGAAATGTTTAAATAGGACAACAATCTTCTTATGGACTACCACAAGGAGTTCACTCTGACTAAAATAATGTTTAATATTCTAAGTTCTTGATTCCTACTGAAAATAAGTGGGACTCATGGGAAAACAACATAGAAAAGCCAGACAGGTTTCAAGTTGAGACTAGAATGCACTGGTTAAATCTTCAACTAAAATACTCTATCAGACCTGCAAATAATCATTATTGTATGCAACTCATACCATATTTTTACAGTTGCTCATCATTTTAGCAGTCACATATTAGTACTTACAAGTGCATATATATATATATATATATATATTCACTTTCAATACTCGTTATCGTAGGCGTACCACAAATACTCCATATTTTGCGGCTGTTAAGTTGATGAGATTCTTTAAGAAACTAGTCTTATTTTCACTTAATAATAGTTATTGAAATCCTAGTCATAAACGCAGACTAACTATTCCCTGAAGAAATAGTTTTGGGCTGCTAAAATCGCTGTATCACAGTCGTAACTTGTTTGAGCTAGGAACCTTGAAGAACCCCATCAGAACCTGTTCTTCAGGAGTATGCATTTAGAGTTAAGAAATAACAAATGTAGGAAGATTGCAATTGTATTGATCAAATTATCTCTATCCCCTAGATCTTAGAAAACAAGTACATGCCTACCGGAAGTCGATATTAGGTGAATCTTAAAATTTTAAAGTTCCATTAGATAAGAGGTCTCATAGTAGTGTGTCTGATTGTAAAAGGTGTGTAGAAAGTGTATCACCCCTCCTAATGTACTGGCATTATGATCTTCGACAATGTATCATATAAACCATCCTTGTTAGATACTGTCCTCTAAGAATATCCACTACCTTCAGTTTTATTTAATTTCTCAGTGGGAACACCATCACTCACTGGGGCACGTACATTCAGTCAACGAGTCCTAAATAGGATGAAACACACTTGCTGGATTCTGCTACCACCAAATGAGTAACTTTGATTTCTTAATCCTGGTAATATTGAGGCATAAAACTGAAATTGATCAATGTGGTCAAATATATCAACGGAAATTCCAAAACATGGATAAATAATTTCAGTAGAATACATGTTCAAGCTTTCTTAATAGTTGATATTTGATAATCAAGCCCAGTCTAGTATCTGCGGGATGATGTATCTGAGGTTTCACTACATAAACTTGTATTTAACTTTATATACTCTCTATTGAATCAGAAGTAACATCTATTTTTGGGGTTACACAATAATTTCTTGTTAATTTGTACAATCATTTATTGAATATTTCTTTGATATCTTAAGCTGTCAGTTTTATGTTTCTTGCTGATAGTGTCCACCACTTACTACCGTTTATTTAGAATTGCCTACTCAAGTATTGGTAACCACGCCAAAGCCGTCGAATGTTATCGAAAAGGCTTGGAACTTGATCCAAACAATGAAAATTGCCAACAGAACTTATCTATTGCGGAAGAAAAATTAAAGAATACACCGGATAATTCTCAAAGTTCAGGGTTATTTGGCGGCTTTGATCTTAATTCTATTTTAAATAATCCAATGATGCAAAATATGGCTCGTCAATTCATGAGTGATCCGAATGCCCAAAGCATGTAGGTTTATTCTAGAATTGATTAGAACTGTAATTCTGCACCTTATCATAATCTCTTTATTTATGATTGTATTAATCGTTATAAACTATAACCTTGAAAATGTGATTTTTAACACTTAACATGTTTGTGTTCTTTAAGTCTTAATTTTTGATGTCACTATATTTCCGAATTTACGTTTCTAATAGAGTTATATTAGGCAGCATAACTCACTAACGTAGGTGTACTCACCTATCTCCCATACTTTGGATGAACGTTGCTGAAGAATCCTAAACTTGGGCAGAAAAGTTATTCATCACTTGTTTATTGTCAGTGGGCTTTTTCGACCACTACTATCTTGTATTGGTTGCGTTCGGCTGTAGTCATAACTCGTCTAGGCAGTATTGACAGTTATATCTGGTTAGAAGGTTAGTTAAAAAGTAATAAGAGTAAAATCAGAAAAATTGAAACCCGAAGACTCAGTCGTACTTCTGAAAGCAACTACTGACTGCTCCTTTCAAAGTGTTACATGAAAGGGCTAGGGAAGGTTGACTTTAAGAGTATCACACTTCTCTCCCCAAATACATTTGTCGCACCCGTGGTAAAATTTCTAAAGTACAAATCGAACTGAACAAAATATCTATCCTTGGTAGCATCATTCTATTTCTGTTTACTTTTTTGTGTTGTCCGATTGGACACTCGGCTTTTAGAAAGTTTTATGTTATGAGGTATATATCCTCTTGTGAAGCAGTGATGGGAAAGACAATGAATTCAGTAGCTGCCACTGATCATATGGATTGATACATTGTTTTAACTTTTCACAGTTTTTGTAATTTACATCTATATATTTCCTACTATACCAGACTGGATAGTTTATTGTTCAGTATTTTATTTACCAATTCATTTTAGGATGACAAATTTAATGCGCAATACATTTGGTGTGGCAGATAGCTCAAACAGAGATAATCCAACCACCAATAACGTTTCTAACAACTGTTCCACTGAACCAGCACAGCCAAGTGAGCCATCCACTCAGGTTGGTGGTGAACAAAACATGGATGAATTCTTACGCCTGTAAGATATTGTTTGTTTATAATGGGTTTTCTTTCTAGCGTATTCCAACTTTATTGTTTGCTCGAAATGTGTTTCATTCAAGTATCATCCTGTTTTTTGTTTGTCGGAGGCTTTGAGTTCTGAAGTACGAACTGGTTTAATTATCACCTAGGATGATTTGAATAGAAATAAACTTACAGTGCTCCGTGGGATTCATCGAAAAAGTTTAATTGAGGTGATAGTTTTCAAAACAGGCTTTTTGTTCGTAATTTGTTCAACCATGTGATCTGAGATTCCCCTGATATATAAATGTATGCTGTTGCGACGTCTTGTTTACTTTTGTACTGCTTTCTTTGTTCATTTTTAGTGGTCACCAATTGGCCCAACAACTGCAAGCATCAAATCCTCAACTTGTAAATCATTTACGCCAGACATTTCTTTCCAGTGTTGTCGGACAAAATACGAATCCTGAAAGTAATGACAACGACAGTTCAAGTACCAAATAAGTGGTGTCTTAATTAGAAGCTCAGTTATTATGTCACTTGACTGTGTATTCCATTGAAATTATGCTTGGACTCCTTTTCATTTTCGTTCCTTATCTCTATGTGGTCTTGTTTTCTATGAACAAAGTAAGAAGAAAATGATGGTAAAACAACTGTGCACCTTGTAATGTCCACATGAATGAATTTTGCTTGATGCAAATAATTTTGTGCATATATGTTATTGTAGACCATATTATTTTCTCTCTCTCTCTCTTGTACATTTTTTACATGTTTAAGTGTATAACTTGAAAAATGCTTCACATATGTAATCTAGAAAGTTGACTTAAACCGGATACAAATGTATATTCCGAGCTTTTCGTTGGACTTGTTACTGAAGAGCAAGTTGAAGTCATCTATATCTTAGTCTAAAGATACTGAATGAGATTACTGCCTTTCTCTGAGATCATTAATTCTACCGATTGAATGAAACACTAATGAATACAGATGGAAGGTCAAAGACATCGATAAAGCAGTTAATTCAGCTCACTGTCTGAGCGAATTGAATTGAGTTAGTTTGGTAGATAGTGTTTCGCTTTTGTTCTAGGTGCTAGCCTTAGTTTTTTGTGTGCGGGTTCTAAGAAAGGTACACAGTAGTGGTAATAAGAAATGACTGCTTAGCGTTTTAGATACCAAATATTTGATATTTTCCGGTGATTTTTAATCGCTCTGAAGTCTATCAGTCCGTATCTAGGTTAATTAGAAACGTATTAAATTTCCGCTGGTGAACCTGGACTTTGACAATTAAGATATGAAAATGCGCCATAGTTTGAGATAAAGTAGAAAAAACGAGAACTATAACAGGTACTCCTCTCAGTTTCTCCCGGCATAATTTTTTCTCGCGACCGCTTGTAACCAAAGCATTCAGGCAACTTGTCTTAAAAAGGTTGTCGATCTACCACCGACTAGTATTTTATTTCAAGAAAATTCCACGCAATAAACTCTACTGGAAATTTTGTGCACTACACAAACACCACAAAATTATGCTGTGATACTATTTTATTGTTATAACCTCGCGTAACCGGTGAAGAGGGAAGGTTGAGGGTGGTGCTAGTGAACCCACCTCGTAAAGGATAACATTGACGGTATTGAAACTTCAAAGCTCAAGCTTTATTTATTTATTATTATTTATTTAAACGCAGAAAAACTTGATACAGTATGGCACCAAGAAAGATGCGCCACACAATAATAATAAAACACCATAGATTAAAAGTAAAAATATAAGTAGAAAACGGATAAAGAACTTTATTAGGAAGGAAAATAGTCATGTTTAACAAGTTCAAACAGTACTCGTTAACTATCATCAGGAAGGGAAGAAAGAAGGAAATTGCAGCACGTTCGCCATTGATTACGATTCTTGGCTATATCCGATAACGTTTCGAGCTGTCTCGCGGACCCCAACCAGGGAGTCGTGACATACCAACCGATGTTAATCTAGCACAAATATCCTTCATCCCACGACTCCACGTCATGGACTGACCACCCCTCCGCCTTTTCCATCCCGTCCCAGGGCTAGCGAACAGAGACCTGTACGGAAGCCTCTGGGATGACATTCGCAGCACATGTCCAAGCCACCGGAGCCGGTGTTTCCAGATGACGACATTCAATGAATGGTGATCTCCAGTGTGTTCAAACACACGCCGCCGAACCTCAGAATTACTCACGCGATGATGCCATCGAACGCAAGCAATCCTGCGGAGACAGTGGTGATCGAACACGCACAGTCGCCTCACATCCTCAGCTCGGAGAGGCCAGGTTTCACAGGCGTAGAGCAGCGCAGCCCGCACCGAAGCATTGTATACCCGACCTTTGACAGCCAGGCTAACGTCGCGACGGCGCCAGAGGTGGCACAAGTTGATGTATGCCACCCTAGCCTTCATTATACGGTTGGAAATCTCATCCGTCACCCCTCCGCCAGCACTCACACAACTACCCAGGTACAGAAACTTATCAACAACTTCAAGCGGTTCACCCGCTAGAGTGAGTGCAGGTACAGGCTCCTGCCAATCTTGTAACAGTACTTTGCACTTAGACAGACACTGGTCGCCAACTGATTAAGTGCGATTTGGGCAGCCTGCATGCTATCGCACAGTAAGACGATATTGTCTGCACATTCGAAGTGGAAAAGTCTATCTCCAGGTAGCAGATCTACACCACCTTTACGCACTTCCTTCGGAGCTGACTCCAGAATGTCATCGATGGCAAAGTTAAAGAGAAATGGAGAGATCGGGCAACCCTGTATAACCCCACTTTTGGTTGGGAACAGTGATGATAGTTGGTTGTATGCCCTCACTCTACCTGAGGTGTTTCTGTATAGGGCTTTCAAGATGTTAACAAATTTCTCAGGTACACCTCTCTCTAACAGACAGTTCCAGAGCACAGATTTGTCCAACGAATCGAAGGCAGCCCTAATATCAAGAAACACAACGATCGTTGGCCTGCAATACGTGTGGCGGTGTTCCAACAACTGACGAAGGGTGAACACATGATCAATGCATCCACGACCTGAACGAAACCCAGCCTGCGAAGCATGACAGCAGCCAATAATTTAGACGCGACTGGTAGCAGACTGATACCCCTATGATTGTCACACGAATTACGTCGACCCTTTTTAAAGATGGGGACGATAATGGCTTCGTTCCACATTAATGGTACACTCTCAGTTTCCCATACCTTCCTGAGCAACCCAGTTAGAGCCATTGTGAGAGTCTCGCCACCATATTTAAAAAGAGCTGGGGGTAATTTGTCTGGGCCGGGCGCCTTATGGCGTTTTAACACTTGGAGTTCCTTACGGACCTCCGCTTCGGTGGGTGGGTCGGTATTAACCGACCAAGGAGCACTGGGGCTAATGACAGCAGACATTGAAGCTGGTGGCCAGCTGAACTGCTTCCCGAAGTGCTCTGCCCAGCGTTCCAGGCGTCTTTTCAAACTGGTAATTGGCGTGCCATCTGCCTCACAGACCGTCTCGCTGACACCTTGTTTCTTGCTGCCGGTGGCTCGGATGAGTTGGAACAGCTTCCGACTGTTGCCAGATGCAGCAGCTGACTCCATCTCATACGCACGTTCTGACCACCAGGCCTCGCGGTCCTTACGTAAACACTTTCTTATCTTGCGCGTCAGCGCCTTTCGCTTATTGCTGTATTCGCTGCCAGCCGGAATGGACCGGCGTTCATCCAGGAGTTGTAAGGAACTCGCAGAAACCCAGTGGTTTTTGGCGGAGCATACTTTCAAGCCGCAAGCGGCTACACTCACCCTTTGCATGGCAACTTGCAGATGGAGCCGATGTTCATCTATACTACTTGGGGGGTTGCTGGCAAGCATTGATTGTAACTCATTCTGATATTTCAAAGAAGTAGCAGGTGCTACTAGTTTGCTCACTTCAACGTTTAGACGACGCCTTTTATGAACCCCACCAAATCGCAAGACGAACTTGGCACACACTAATGCATGATTGGAGTCCAGGCATGTGCTCCAGGAGGAGCGACAGTCTTGTATTCATCCTCGCCACCGGAAACTGACAGCAATGTGATCGATCTGAGTCCAAGCTTGGTTCGCAGAGGGAGGACGCCAGGTAGCGCTACGGCGATGGTTGTGCCGGAAGTTGGTGCTGGCCAGAAATAGGTTGTGATCCGCGCAAAGCTGCAGAAGACGGTCCCCATTATCTGACCTGCGACCATGTAGTCCCCATTGACCACCTAGACGATTCTCATCTGAGCTCAGACGCCCGACCTGTGCATTCAAGTCCCCAGCCAGCACTACGATATCCCTCCGACCCGCCTGTCTCAAGAGATCGTTAAGTTGGTGTCAGAGCTCGTCCTTCATTGCATCCGGGCTGCAATCCGTTGGTGCATAGGCAGAGACAACAAATAGACACCGCCTATCTGGCCTACTACTCCTTACTTTCGTATATCCTTCCAGCCTCACAGCACATAAACGACTGTTAATGGGAATCCAGTCGAGCAGTGCAGCTTCGGCTCTAGCGCTCAGTGCGACACCGACACCAGCTACGCCGGATGCCGATGCCACAGGGTCCCCGGACAAGCGCAGGTGGTACATACTACTAGAACTTCCAGATGGAGAGGATAATCGAAGCACTTCACTGGGATCTTGAATGCGCGTCTCCGAAATGCAGCAGACATCGATAGCGAGGCTTTCCAACGTTCTTACCAATCCTGCCTGTTGTCCGATTTGCATCAGCGTCCAAACATTGTAGGTGGCCAGCTTGAACGCGGCACGCGGTTTCAGGATATCTGTGTTAGAAGTCACATTGGGGACAACCATTTTGACGGTTACTCACTAACATCTCGAAACGACACAGATAGGCTAGGAATCCAGACAAAGGCGAAAGGCTGTCGAAGGTTAAGAAGTCAAGGTGAGCAAAGGTAAAATACAGGAAACTAAGTATAAAAATAAAAGTAAGGTTGGAAAGAGATGTGTTACTTGAGACATCATTATTGCTTGAACGCATTGTTACGAGCGCGCGATAAGTTCCACTGAAATTCTGTTGCTTTATTTCACTTATTGTGTGAGGGCTGAGATACTGCCCGGGTGCCCAGACCGAAGCAGGTGGTTTTCTTCAGGGACCACCCACCAAGCCTTTGACTTGGAGTCTAATCCGCAAGGCAGCGGAGCAGCGTCAGGTGCTGCGTTCCCATGGTTGCCGGTGACCCATAATGGTTCGTACGCCATTTGATCCGATTGGATTCTGGAGCCCATGTACACCATGGTAACTGTTTTTAGTCTAACCGCTATCCAAACAACCTTCCTGGCATGGTAGGACCTGCAGGGACATGAGTCCCAGCAAGTTTAGCTTGTTGGGTCACTGCGGAATTCAAGCCCGACCACCACGGCAGCTCAAGCATTAAAGCCTTATGTTCCTCTTGGAAGGCAAAGGAATAAGAAAATCTCTGAGTGTAACTGACTGACTGAGTCTCAACGTAAAGTTCGCCCAGAAGTAAAGCAGTTTAAATTGTCACACTCCATATAGCACACAGTGATACAGAAAAGAGTGAAAATAAATTCAGGAGAACTGTAATAAACAGAAATCTACCTGAGAACGAATAGTAATGTGGGAAAAATGTGACGACTTAACAGACCTAGGAAATTACAAATAGTGAATGAAGCTGCCCCATTGAGAACGATTTCGAGCCATATCACCAACAGTTTCCAACCACTGGTTCTTAGCATCCCGAGGATTCCAACTACACTTTCCCTGCATAGTTATAATCTGCTGGAGGAACATCATAGATTCATGCTAGGTTTTGGTTTGACGATCCATAACTATTTCCTAACCAGACTGTGTATCAGCTGATTTTG